ATACGTCTTTTTATGTAACTGCTACAGAAAATTGAGAAAATTATAACTGCCACAGAAAATTGTCTTTCCGGATTGATATAATAAACGAGTAAAAATGTATATCCGAGAAATTTGCCTGGAAGAATCCAATGCGCGTGAGACGACGGAAATATAAAATTAGCGAGCTATTAGATTCGAAAGAGAGAAATAGAAAAATATATCCTAGATATCTGTGTATAATAGTTTATACACTGATTTAATTATTACGAAAGCGATGTTTTCTTTTTGTGAATTGTTTATAAATATTTTATAAGATGTTTTGATATCTGATTGATATTTAAAATTCTCGTCGTTTACAGATTGATTTAATTTCATGAATCGTCATCAGTAAAGTATTTCTCATATTCTCGATTTGTTTATCTCTCGCGTGCAAAGCTCTCGCGATGTACATACTTAGACTCGTGCATGCGCACGCAAGAAATATGCACCTCTCTCGCGTGGGCGTCGACGTCACGTGCGTACACACACGCCAGGGCATTCGCACTTTCGCGCTTGTATCGCGGCGTATTAGCGATGAAACTCATACTTTCGTCTGGATGACCGCCGTTTACGTGGACTGCAATTGCTCTGAAAAGTTTTATTCAAAAAAATCTATTTTATTACAATTTATGCACATATTTATATGATGGGATTTTGTAATATGAAAACCTTTCATCAGATCGATCTCGCTATTACGTATAATTAAAAATTAAATATTCAAGTTCGACGAAGCTGTAAAAGTTTGGAATATTGAATTATCGCAAGAGGCAATCAATCGTGATTATACAGAGTTATTCGACCTAAATGTGCAACGAACACAATTTATAAATTGCAACTTTCGTCAAAAGAATAAGTCTTTCAATTTTTCCTTCCCTATTGATATTCGCTTTTCTTGCACCTCTTCGTATTTTATGTAACTTCGTAAAGATCGTTGAGGGCCGTACTGCATCGTTCCGCAGTAGCCTCTCTATTATTCGCTGGAGCACTCGATGCAGCGAAAAAATGTAGACGACGCATTAAGGAGCGGAAAGTAGCACGATGAGGTGGTCCGGGCTTCTTGAAAAAGCTCTGAATTAATGACGAAGTCAGGGCCGTAACTTAGAGCAAGTGTTATAGAGCCGACAAATCCAAATATGTATTTTTACTCTTATATAATTTTTTGTATAAAATAGTCCGAGTATATTAATAAGATTAAACAATTTGTTCTTTTTAAATTTTGTTTCTTTATTTTTTTGTAAAATTATTTTTCAATATTTTTTTAATAAGACTTTTGTTAAATTTTTAGTAAAATTTTCCATTTTGGTAAGAGAATAGTAAATATTTTATTTGATCCTCTCAATATTTTCTATCTATATATATACTTCATCGGAGAGTAATAATTTTATATAAAAATTTATATCTTTGTTGAATTTATTTTTCTAATCTTGGTCTTGATGGATTCTGCATTTTGACGAAACAAAAAATTATATTTCCAGAAGGAAAATTGTTTGACTGAACCCGAGGAAGTTATAAGAATGATGTTAAGACTTCGAATCGGAGTCTACTTTTCTAAGGGCGCGCAACTTTCTCCTTGAAGATTCGTGTGCAGTCAGCTCTCTTCGTCTTCTTCGCCGTCGATCTCTTCTCTTAATATGGGTCAGCCTGATTATGCTGAGACACGAATGGTCGCATAAAAATAGGAAGAGCGATGCTTCTATAGGCGAGGTGTTGCAGATAAGGAGGAGCGAGGAATGTGAGAGCTCAGCAAATATTTAAGGCACCCGATTTCGCTGTCTTTTTGACGGCAAAGAAATTGCGGCAATTTAAGGGTAATAGTCACACTTGATATGGATTAGGTAGTTTTGTTAAAGTTTGAAAGGCAGTTTTTGACGAAATAGTATTTCGTTAGATGATACATTCGAATTTTCCTTTTCTTAAAAGTTCAGTAGTTACAGGTTGAGAAAAAATATACTTTTTCTTCAAAATATATTTTTTCACCAATGCTGTCAGATGATGTAGATACCGATAAGTTTCACGAAAAATTTCTAGAGTTTACATCATAGATTTTTCTCAGTCATGTTGGAGTATGTATAATCAGTGTAGTATGCACGATAATTGCAGATTATAGGAGTCGATACTCGATATCTTTTCTTTCGCCATGTTCGATTCGTTTCCCGCTTTTTCCCCGTCACTTTGAACCCCCCCTCTAGCCTTCTCTTTCTCCGGGAGCACTCAAACAGCGCTATATAAACGGAATTGGTTCTCAGTCGAAGGTAATCACTAGACCAGATTCACGTTACCAATTAGAGGCCGACACCTTTCACGCTTCTCCTCTGACGGGAAGCAACCATCCTTAATAGGTATCAGACCGTACATCACTCGGCATTAATAGGTATCGATGGTTTGAACTTGTTACTCGCTTTCAGGCAAAAATTTGTCTGAAAAAATTCTAAAATTGGCTAAAAGTTCAACCGATTAAATTCGGGAACTGTTTTGAGAAACAATTAATATTAATTCCACAGATAGAAAATAGAATATGCAGGATAGATGTATAGATCCGTAAAATAGTTTTAGACATTGATAATTTTACACTTACATTTATTATCTAGTTATTTTGAAAATAGATATTGGAAAATAGAAAATGATTCTAAAATAGAAAAAGGTCTCTTTCGCCGAACACTTTCTACGTGCGGGCATTCTGCAGTGACTTTATGTAATTATTGTGGGTGGAATAATTTATGCGTGTAATAGCCTACGCGCATTAATTTACGTTTGCTGGTCGAAATGTCAGAATAGTGCAGCGCATGTTATGTATCCTATTAGTCGAGACCTATCGGAGAATTTTAATTTCTTTGAGCCATAATCTGGATTCCGTTTCAATTCCTCGGGATTGTAGACGATTACGTGCACGTCACGCACATAAAGCGCATAACAACGTCATTAGTGATTGTCATTATTAATTCTCCCATCTAGTGCTGCAGCAATATTACATTCCATTAACAAAAAGCATTTCACTTATCAGTATTATTTATTATTTTATCGTTATTTGTCGCTTATATATTTTTTTCTTATTTAGCAAATAATCATGTTACAAATGATTATGCTATGCGCAATCCAATAAACGTTTAATAGAGTTGAAAATGATTACTGAAAGTTAACTCTTTTTTATGAATTTTTTTAACATTTTATCCAGACATTTTATCAAAGTATCGTAAACTCGCGTCTCGCAAGCCTTTTTGTCGCACGTGAAATTCTTCTTCACGGTGGCACGTGCTATCGGCACAATCGTCGCGTAGGACCGCGCGTAGTGGGCTATTTCCGCAAGACGTCGCGCTATTTCCATCGTCGCGCTTACCGGGAGGTACACGGACTTCGAAATTGATGTTTGTCCTCGCTTCCCATTGACGTCCCAAAATAAATCGTTGATCGACGTAACTCCCGCCGGATATATCGACTCGGATGCATCCTCGCTTCTAAATCAGGCGACTCATAAAGTAACGCCTAGACCAGCCGTGGGCGATCTTTATGTCTTCTACAGCTGGATTGTTTAGAAACATCAATCTTGAAAACATGTCAAGTGAAAATATTTCGATAATATTAATTTAATTTTTTTAGTTTTTCAAAATTTCGTTATATGGCTGTTTTTTTTCTTCAAAAAATCAAACGAATGAACGGAAGTACTGCGATAAGAAGTATCTTGTTTAAGCCATTAGGTAACTCGATTCTTTGTATCTTTCTTTGATTCTTATATATTTTTCTCTAATTATTTATTTGATATTATTTTTTGTGTTTAAAAAGAAAAATACGTATTTTTAACATATTGTGCAACATATTGCAAGCATGTCTCTTATATTTTGATGAAGATTATTTAGGGTAGATTAAATAGATTTATTAGTATTAGCGTATCAGTGAATTTTCCGCGGCGAAATTACCGCAAAAAAGGGTTTATTTGGACGTTTATTTAGTGAATTTTTAGGAGATGAAAGCGAGATGATCTTTGATAGGTTAGCCATCCTTGAATAATTTACAAAAAATGCCGTTCAAGCGTTTGATTAATCCACTTAAATGTAATCGCGTGACACTGATTATTCGCTTGATTAAGAAAAGTGATTTGAAGTGAGCAAAAAGGGAAAATTTTTATTTGCAAGGCTGAAAGGAACGGAAAAGTTAATTCGCGTGTTATTTTTTGCCTTTGGGATACATTTTTATTTCTAAAGTCATTTGGTGTCTTTGAAGATCTCGCCGTTTCGATTGTTGAAGAGTTAATTAACGCGCTTGGCAAGTCGCCGACGTAATTCCTGACATTGTCACTCCGACATTCAGCCGAATCGCGTATTTCCGATTTGTTTGACGGTCCTCGGTGCCGACGCGCTTCCATCGATTGCTCGACACACTTTCGACACACCAGTTTTCTAGAGACTGCTAATAATGAGTAGGCGTATCAATACGTAGAGTATATGTAGATTATAGATATGTGCATCGTGTGTGTCTATTTCTATTTGGCCAGTAGAACGTCAAGTCTCTAGTAGCCTAGTAGACTCGTACGCCACGCGTTCATCTGATAGTCTATTAATAAGACAGCCTGCGGACCACTTTCTGGTAAACTGAAAGTCTATTTGTCTAATGTAGTGCAGAATATTGAATATTTATACAAGATAAACACATATTACAATTAAATATTCTTACAAAAGCAGTATTACGTATATTATATATTGTTAAATATTTTTTATCAAAATGCAATAGCGCAAAAAATAATGAATTCTACTGTACCACATTAGAGCGATGGTCCTGGGGTGATTTTGTATGCTGTACAAATTTTCACTAGACTATTTTACTAGACTAACGTATGAATTTCTTCCTTAATTTAGTAATCTGTGAGCCTCTCTCTCTGATCTATAAAGCTCTGTATCATATAAGTCAGATTAACTGAAATAGCGGCGCCATAACTTTCCGAACGCGCTGTCAGCGAGTTATTAACGACGTTACAACTTTAATTATTGCAGATCGCTGCCGAAGCTCAGCAGCCAGGACGAGGATGGGACGAACCCCCACACCCAATACACAGGCGTCACACACTTCGAGCCCATACCGCACGATCATGACTTTTGCGAGAGGGTCGTCATCAACGTGAGTGAAAATTTTTATTGCTTTTAACCACGGCTCCCGTCTTTTAACACTTGAATCGAGAAATCATTTTGCTGCAATTTTGCGAATATTTTAAAAATACATCTTTATTTCTCGTCGTTTAGATTAGAGAATTCTTAAGAGAGATAAATTATAAGAATTTTTGGCTCTTCGTATAATCTTCGGCGCCATCGATTCTTGGAACGAAAAATTCTCGACTGTAAACGCCAAAAAAGTTTCGTCTGCGCGGATTCTCGGCGCCGCGGATCCTTAATCTCCCGAGTTCCCGGTGCCATAAATTCTAGATTCGACGCTTCCTAAGGCAAGGGGCGATAAAATACTATCAATCTGAAATGTAAATATAATCCCATTTAAATCTCATTCTTTTTAATTTATATTCCCGCATCGTGCCATAGTGATTTCTTTTATACGCTGCAATCGGAATTTCCGCGTATTTTCACGCGTAAAAGTAACTCCAGTCTGATTCAGTATTCGTACGCGCTCTTCTTTTTGACGTGGCGAGATTATCTCAAGACATGAAGTGACCTACAGACCGCGTTTTGGCGGCCATCCAAGTTCGTCTTGGAATCGGGGGCGATATAGCGTCAAGGTCGTATTGTGTGAACGGAATTATCTGTCCTCGCGGATGACACGACTGCATTGCGCCAATTACAGCAATCGGTTCGATCGATGCATTTCATTCTTCTCTTTTTTTTTCCCTCTTTCTTTTCGCGCCCCGCGGCAGTCGGTTCGAAAACTCGGTAGAGGTCAAAGCACGCCGTTCTGACGCGTGGATGGAGCGTGTGATTGTCGTGAAACCGATATGTAACGCGCATGCATTGGAAATACATATTTTTTATTCCGTTTTTAATTAAAAGAAAAGTGTTGATATAATTTACATTTATCTAGAAATCTTTTTATTGCCGCTAGTAAAGATGTTTCCGACTTTTTAGGTGGCACGCCATTTCTTTAGAACAAAATGTGCCGTGCAAACTTATCTTCTTTATTCGCTGACTCTTGAGCGTAGTTCCATCCACGAAATACGACTTCGAAGACAGGGCGGAAATATTTCATTGCCTGAATTAAATTTGCCACATCCGTTCCTTTCTTCTTTATGTTATCTTTCACTTATTTCTTTTTTGGCCGTTTTGACTGAGAATATAAATTGCGGTTTTCTGAAGCATTTAGTTTCCTGCGAGAATAAATGATGTTATTAATCAAGTATTTATTGTTGAGCTTACAAATTTTATATATTTTTTATTAGGAAAATAATTAAAAATTAAGACATTTTGTCAATGTAAAGAAAAATTAGCTTTGTTGTTTCTCTTGATAATAGTTTATTCTATTTAAATTTCTCGATTCGCAATTTATTAGACTTTATTCTTGCAAATTGTAGATTCTTATTAAGTTTCTTATTAATCAGGTCATTGATTAAACATAATTTTCCTATTACGAATCTGTAATTCCACAATCCTTCATCCATATCGCAGATATTTAATTTTATAAATTTCCAATATTACGAATCTGTCGTTGTACGAATCTTTCACAAATGCTCTCACTATACGATTAATCCCCGATTTAATGGACGTATTGATTTTTGCGAAGTACTTTGAAGATTTTACTGAATTATTGATTTCTCTCGGACAAAAATGCTGAAAATCCTAAAAAATCACTGGGCTATTCAACATAAATTAACAAGGTTAAGTGGGTGGTCTACTTGATCGACGGGATAATCCTCTGATAATACGTTAGTCCCTTTGTGCCGAGCAATCCCTACAACCATCCCCGCGCCCCAATTAGCCGCTTGAGCGACGCGCCCCGCCCAGCGCGCGCGCGTTGCCACCGTAGCCAATAATCGATTGCTGCGATCGACAGGTGAGCGGGCTACGGTTTGAGACACAGCTGCGTACGCTGAACCAATTTCCGGACACGCTGCTCGGCGATCCGACACGGCGGCTCCGATACTTCGATCCGCTGCGCAACGAATACTTCTTCGATCGCAACCGACCCTCCTTCGATGCCATACTCTATTACTATCAGAGCGGTGGCCGCCTACGCCGCCCGGTCAACGTCCCGCTCGATGTCTTCTCCGAGGAGATCAAGTTCTACGAGCTGGGCGAGATGGCCACCAACAAGTTCAGGTACGCTGCTCGTCCGTTGTCTCTGTCTCTCCGGCAATCCACTGCACTGTCCCAATCAGCAACTTGCGATCCAAGTTAGTGTAAACGTCAAATTCTCGGCTCTTGCAAGTTCTTGAGTCCACAAAGATCTTGAAATCCACGACTCTCCTCGACGAAGCCCTGCATCCGCAGTCCTTGGACTTAATGTGTGCTTGACACTAACATGCAACGGCCTTTGGTCGCTTTCATGTGCGAATTCTTTGACCAATTTAGAAATGGACTTGTTCTCAAACATTCCTCACCACAATATATGCAAATGTGCAATTTGCACGTGTCCTTGCTTCTTCGTATCCTAACATGACTTTGCGCTTTAATCCTTGTTCCCGCAGAACAACAGCCGTCAAAGAGACCCTTGATACCTATGAGCACTCTGTTGTATCGCAAATACGAAAAATACAAGCATAGTCTGTAAAAAAAAAAAATCTGAGAAGAAAGTTGCCGGAAATTAACGAAGCAACCGACTGATTCAAAACAGGGAGGACGAGGGCTTCATCAAGGAGGAGGAGAAGCCGCTGCCGTCGCACGAGTTTCAGAGGAAAATCTGGCTGTTGTTCGAGTACCCGGAGAGCTCGCAAGGCGCCCGGGTGGTCGCCATAATCTCCGTGTTCGTGATCCTCCTGTCGATCGTGATCTTCTGCCTGGAGACGCTGCCCGAGTTCAAGCACTACAAGGTCTTCAACACAACGACGAACGGCACGAAGATCGAGGAGGACGAAGTGCCGGACATCACGGACCCGTTCTTCCTAATAGAGACTATTTGTATCATCTGGTTCACGTTCGAGTTATCAGTGCGCTTCCTCGCCTGCCCAAACAAATTCAACTTCTTCCGTGACGTAATGAACATCATTGATATCATCGCGATCATTCCGTACTTCATCACCCTCGCCACGGTGGTGGCCGAGGAGGAGGACACGCTGAACCTACCGAAGGCGCCGGTAAGCCCGCAGGACAAGAGCACGAACCAGGCGATGTCCCTGGCGATACTCAGGGTAATCAGGCTGGTCAGGGTGTTCCGGATATTCAAGTTGTCCAGGCACAGTAAAGGCCTCCAGATCCTCGGGCGGACTCTCAAGGCCTCCATGAGGGAACTCGGGCTGCTCATCTTTTTCCTCTTCATCGGTGAGTTTGATGACGCTTGTCGGACAAATTAGTAACTAGGCGAGAACAGGGATTTTTATTTTATAAATGTTATATAAATTTATATTTGTTAGGAGCTGCAGGTTAATTATATTGTATTCAGATTGTATTGTATTTATTTGTCTAAGTTGCATTGACGTTTATAATTGTATTTAAATGATATGCACGAGAAACCCTCTTATCGGTGCAGCTAAAAGTAAAAAATAAAATTATGTTAATTAAAGAAAAGTTCTTCTCTTCACCGAATGTATACATAAAATGTAATACTCAAACAACGTTCAAATGCTTTCTTGATATTTATAGTTAGTTCAGCGATGAGAGGGTTAAGTTAAATAAAAAGATGTGAAAATAGATAGACGAACGACGCGTGTCGAGGAGAGAGTAAAGTCGCGCTTGCAAAAATCGGAAGGTCGAGGAGATCGAGTTTTCGCTATTCCGTTTTGCATTATGTAACACATACCATATGCAAATGTCTCGGAGTTCCAAATCGTTCCGTCGAGGGCCTTGGAATTATCATGTGCGACGAAGTCGCGAACAGTTGGCAATTTATTTTACTGTCTAAAGATTTAAGTCTTTGGATTCTTGGATATACGAGGTTGCTTTATCTAGTTTTATTTTTCATATCAGATATGCGTCAGATATGCAATATTTACGATCTGTAAAATATTCGAATTTTTAAGTACATATAGATGTTTTTATACATAAGAATCATACATGCATAATTTTTGGACGGGTTGTATATGTATGTATGTTTTTACCAGACAACAAACAAATTTAATGTAAATTATGCGCAACAAAGCTTAACGGGTCAAAAATCGATGACTGGATGTTTACTCGACTAGCTAGCTATGCGATTTCTTGACATCAAAAACAAACCATCGACGCAGTTGTTTTCGCGAAAAGTCACTTTTAGATCAATAATTTTCAGGATGTTTTCCTTCGCTGATTTCGGAGACGCGAGATGTTGTTTAGGTCCTGATCCTCAGTAATCGTTTCTGTGCCGAACATTCGTCGTCATTAAAAGGAACGAGCAAACGAGATTTATGGTCGTTCGTCTATCGAGTGCGGTGGAAAACTTTCGAATGCCGAAATGTTCGCCGATAGTTCGCGGCACAATGGCTTTCGAAAGGAGACAAGCAGAAATAGTGCAGATGGAAAACAGGAGCTTAGAATGTAGTAGTTTTTTATCTGCTTTTTATTTGTATTTTTGTTATGAAAGATGGCCGCTTAAAACTAGTTTAAAAGTTTAAAGTTTAGTTTTAAGAAAAAGACAGCAGCAATATTGTGTTTTTTTTTTATAAACATAAATGTGATATTTTAGTAATATCTGTTGTAATCGTGCATTGTTGCTCTATTACTCTTTTAACTCTTGACTGATGTTGGTTCAAAATTTTTATTGGAATTAATTTGTTAAATTGTTATATAAAACTAAAAATTTTAAAACAAGTGTATAAAAAAACTTTTTATCTAAAATTATCGTAATACATTTAAATTTGTTTGTAATACTATAATTGCAGTAATGTAATTACATTATAATTGATTTACAATTTTTTTTATCAATTTCTTTGTAATTGACGCTAGTATATTCACGTACGAAGACAACATCATTCAAGATCTGTAAATTGATTTGCAATGCACAAAGTTGCAGTGGAATCACATTTTTCGAAATTTATTAATTTTATAAATTTTATTACTGAAAAGACTACAATACTTCAGATTTATCTTCCAAATGAGATTCCACTCTGTATAAGTCTGCTCACATTCAACTTTTTTCACTTCACTCCAAGATAAGACGCTTACGGCGGCTGGATAAGTTCTTTTAAAAGCTTTGCGTGGAAGAATTCCTGTTATCGAATATGCCGCATACCTGACGATAAGACAACAATAGGGTTATACAAGAGCTCCAGAAATCTTTCTCTCGTTATTGGAAGACGAATCGCAGATTCTCATCGAGGCAGATTCTAGTCGATTCTAATTGTAGGACGTGGACGGTCCAAATCAGGCGGTCAAGCGGTCACCAGGATCATAGCGATTCTAATTGATCCTGGTGCAGAGATCCCGGTTCCAGGTGTGATCAGGAGGTCGCCCGGATCGGACGATCCCAGCAATCGAGTCTCTTGCGTCCGACGAACGGGGCCGATGTGTACATGACGCGGCGGACGATGACGTGCACCGTCTTGATCCGTGCCTTCCTCTTGTGTGCGTTGCAGGTGTGGTGCTGTTCTCGTCGGCGGTTTACTTCGCGGAGGCCGGCACGCAGGACAGCTTCTTCAAATCGATACCGGACGCGTTCTGGTGGGCGGTGGTCACGATGACGACCGTGGGCTACGGCGACATGAGGTACAGAGCCACCGGGGGCGTTAAACCCACTGAACCGGTGTTTTCTTCCTTGCATTGCAGGTGTGGTGCTATTCTCGTCGGCGGTTTACTTCGCGGAGGCCGGCTCCGAGAATTCGTTCTTCAAGTCCATTCCGGACGCGTTCTGGTGGGCCGTTGTCACGATGACGACCGTGGGCTATGGTGACATGACGTATGATGTACTCACTTTCACTTAAGACTCTAGTTAATGCCCGCAAAAAAAAGAAACCGGCGACGACCGCTTCGGATGGTCGAAAGAGAGAAAGAAAGATCTAACAAACACACGCAACTCCTCAATCTCTTTTTTGTTCGCTACGAAACCTCTTTAAGATCGCACCAACATATCCATTAAATGTTTAAACGCTTCCCTGATAAGATAAAATGACAGATTGAAATATATTCCGAAGATAATTTGGCTAAAAAAATTTCAGAAAAATTTATGAGTTTGAAAGAATGCACAATTTCTTTAGCAACGCATACGATAATAATGTATTATTATGATGATTAAATCATATATGAATTAGTTATCTAATCATGATAATAATATATTCTTATTGTCATTAAAACTGAGTAATTATTTAATGGTATATAGTAATTAAAATTAATTGAGAATGTTGGCGCAATCATATTTTTTTCTCTCCTGTCTTCGCTTTTCCCTTCGGTCCGCATGCGTTGCTCGGAGCACGCTTTGAATATTTCACATTAGTCACGTATTTTCTCGTTTGTCTTAAATAGCTGATGAACACGTTTGAGTGCGACTAACAAGTTTTTTTTTTTATGAATAAAAATTACATAATGTTTTCTTTTATTTCACACACGGAAAAATAATTATGCATAAAAATCTTAATGAATCTCATTTTTTTAAATTTACATATAATTTGAGTTTAAATTTAGATGAAGATTCCATTCAATTATTATTTGATATTTTAATGTGCAGCTTAAACTATTTGTGTGTGAGATTCGAGAATAACATGATTCAAGTTTCCACACGCATGAATATATTAACTCTACTGAATTAATATTTTTGATAATAACATTTTTTTCGATTCTCTTTCTATTCAACTTTTAATCTAGTTAGCACTTTTTTAATCTTTCATTAATCGTCGACACAATGACGACACAATGACGACAGAATGTCTCTTTTTTGAGATCTTCCAGACTTCATTAATTCTTGATTAATCTTCTTGTGAAATTTAAATTTCACGAATATTTAATAGAGTTTGGTAGAGAGACAGTTTATATATAAAGCTTTTTTTGCATTATTATATTACTTCTAATTTTCGCCTAATCACAATTGAATAATATCGCGAGCGGAATCTACAACCATTTACCACGTCACTCTCCAATTACAACGCGACCTACAATTATACATCTCTATAATACTCCAATAAACACAGATGTATTTCATGCTCTGCTTCACGATACATTATTCCTCCAAACATTATTTATGCGGTGTTATGTACAGAGTGTCTCGTTATTACTATCTATTTAATTGATGACAAGTTATTTGAACGAATTAAATAATCTGTGCCTACCTTGGCGACAGTTTATTGCAAAAGCGAAGAAATTTGTTTGCTGGAAAACTATTGACTCCAAATTCATAATATGTATCTTGAAGCGATTCTGGCGCGACACCCTATACATGATTCTTGAATTTCCTGGAGCTATTACATGGCAGCTTACGCGGCACTTCACGCGAACGTATACGAATGTATAAAATTAGCGTCGCTCCGATCATTGACAGCGACAATTTCGACGCTCGTAAAGACTTTGACGGCGGCTATTGTTTCTCTTGTGCATGATCTTGAAATGCCACTTACGCGTGCTCGAGCGTGGCTCTTAAAAATCGGGACGTGATTTTTCTAAAGCATTCGTGGCATCCACTTACGTTATTCACAAGGAAATTCTTCCAAGTCATGCATTTCAAATTTGAAAGTATCTGTCTTTGTTAAGTAGAAGAATTGCAAAAAATACAGCTTAATAATATTTCCATTTTTTGAAGAAATCTAAAGTTTTCATAATAAGTATCAAATTTCTCAGATGTGAATAATTGGACCGATAATTTGGTTAAAGTATCGGATAAATTTTTGTTAAAGTGTCGAGCTGTAACGGTAGCTACTTCATCCATCGATCAAGTAAGGGCCTCGGGTATCGATACTCTCGACTTTTCTCGCTGGAGAGAAATCTCCGATGTGTTGCGGCCTAGAAGGCTTCTCGAGCAATTGCCTTCCGTAAATCAATAAATGTCCTCAGACACGGAACCGCCCCGCAGCGAAGGGAAAAATCACAGAGAGGGTGAACGGGGGGGGGGGAGGGGGGGCGGAGTGAGAGAGAAAGAGAGAGAGATTCGAAGTCGCCACACCACGCTACACTCGCGGTATCGATCGATGCACATCCGCGAAATGCGCGCGGCCGCGAGGTGTCCGGCTATTCCACTTCCGATGACCTCCGACGACGTGGTTTGTTGAACTCGTACTATAGGTAGTTAATATTATTTACAAGACTGTGACACTTGCCCTTTGCACATTTGCTGATTGCCGTCCAGCAAAAAAGAAATCAATGGTTAATTGCATTACTGCGTAATATGAATGATTAATTGATGTAACGGACTTTTTTTCTGCTATCAACAAATTTGTCGTGTGTGAATTAATAGAAATTGTAGAAAATAAATTTTCCTATGATAAGGAAGGAAAGTTAACGAACAATGTTAAAATTTAATATCTTCAGGAAATTTATTTATTTGCTCTTGCAACTCACTTAATTTTGCCATTAACACGGAAAAATGTCAAGGCGCGCTGTGTGTCCGATCGGCTGTGTCTTTGTTTACTTTATCAGAAGTAATTCGATGACGCGAACGATGAGATCGACTTCGCGCAGAAGCGGACGCTTGTCCGTTCCACCGAATGACCGTTGAACGAACATCATAATGTGTAAGCTCACGCATGATACGATTTATCGGCGTGAGAATTTTCGGAACGACGAGTACGACATTTAAGAGGAAAGCTCCGAGCAGAGGCGGACCGACCGTAAGCCTCCTTAAGCCTCATAAACGGCCGTAAAATCCATCCGTGCTTTTCCCTCCTTCGCTTAAAGTACATTCTAACATCGTCGGGAAAATGACATTTCCTCTGACATATCAAAATAATGAGAAAGCAGCATTTTTCACCGCTGTTCTTTGGCATCAAGGATCAGTGAAAAAAAAACTCCTAGAAAAAGATTTCCTGAAAAAAATTCCACCTTCGACCCTGTGAACTCCGACCTATCGAATTGACCGATTCACGCATCCTTTAACACTAGAGATCCTTAATTACCCGGTCCGTTGATTCTATTCAAATCTATCCGCATCTTATCGAGAGCTCCAATCCGTTTTCTTCGGTTCCGTGACTTGGCTTTACAGTTCCCTGCGTGTGTGCTTTTCCAAAAAAGGGTCCCCTGAATTTTGATTTTGCGATTTCTTTTTTATGAGAAGGATAAAAAAAATGCATGCGTCCTTGCCTGACGATTGCTCAGCATGCGATTGTCCAGACTATTATCATTAACAACAGTCACGATTATTATTATGGAACGTTATTTTTTTTTTTTGGCTCCCATTTCTTCTCATGATTATGCTATCGTCATTTATTATGATCACCATCATGTCATGGTTCACGGAGGCCCATTAGTACAGTGATACCTTTGCGGGAATGATCTTTTTTTTTTTTTTTGCAACTACAATGTAATGCCTCGATCACTTTTAATGGCTGTTTTTACTTTAACCGAATAGACGTAGACCGAGTTGCCCGTCCATCTACGAAGAGTACGAACCTGCTGTATCGATACTTAAATACCAGTGAAAAGTTCACGTCCAATCGCTCTATGATTAACCGACGAATTTGCCCTTTTAATTTGATCGACGATCTCCAATCTCGGCGGAAATTAAAGTGCATCGTTCTTTCGATACTTTTGTGCAAAATACGTGCGACTGCTTTCTTATCAACAACGGAGAATTTTTCGCCATTCTGTTTGACGAAAATTAATTTTTTTTTGCTATCCGACTTTTAAACAGTCTTAAAAATGTAGAAAACTGTACGCGGAAAAAATATGGGCACAAAAGGGTGAACAATGAGCTTTTCGTTAGTATTTGAGCAGCGTATTACTGATGTCGGAGTATATTTGACTCGATCGATTCGTACGGTGGGCGAGAGCTGCAATTGAACTTACGACTCGCACATAATCTAATTGGTGCCGTGTCGCAAATGCCGGTTCAGAGGCGGAAAAAGCTTGGCCGAATTAATTTGTATGATAATTAAGTGGAACGTTAAAATTAAAAAATAAAGATATGCTTGTTTTTACAATTTACTCTAAAAAGTTATTAACTTCACAATATTTCAATTTGTTGACTTAAATCTAATTTGGAAAATTTGATTTAATACTTATTTGTTTATTTTAATATTTAAAACTTTCTGATTGTATTTAATTGCTGATTCCATAAAATTATATATATATATTTTTTTGATAACAATATAAGCGACAATACAATTTTTAATACAATTTTTGTAATATTAAACTGGATATTTGTGAAATGTATCGAGCTACTTTTATGCAGCCCGCTAATAACGATGTTCATAATTTGTCACGCCTCTTTAGCACACAACGAGAGTAACTATTTTAACATATTTCATCTATGGAAGAGAAGAATGATACTCGATTGCCTTGTCCTTGACGCAAACTCAAAGCACCCATTCGGTCAAGTATCCGCTATAATGACACGGTTTGTGACGCGTTTTTTCAGTGAGCTGACAGCGCAACGTGTTTTGTCTAACATGCAAGACATTACGGATAAACTACTTTTTAGCGAGTCTCCACTTAAGTTCTCTAGTCTAGTTTAGAGTGCCCGCTTATACTAGACACGCGTCGTGCTGTACCTACGTATGGTCGAGAACGTATGAAATTATCGCGTAGCGTTGGCAGGAATAAGAAATTGAAAAAATCAGTTATAAAAAATTTATTAACATATATTAAAAAAACTGGTTTCTCTTTCACTGCAAATTTATTGACGAGATAAAGTATATTCGGGTGAATCAGTTGAAGACTTCTATATAACATATTCAGATTTATATTTCTAAGAGAAATAAAACTCGCGAGACAAAATATGATCGAAAGAAAAAACGGTGATCACATTTTGAACACGCAAAAGAATTATTTATTGGGTACTGTAGATTTTTATATATTATTATATTATTTTATATATGCAGTTAAAAGATATAACAAAATGAAAGAATTCAAACGAAAGTACAGGGTTTTGTTAATTACACTAAGCGGTTAATGCGTAAGAATAATATTCTTTTCTTAAGCTCAGAATTAATCTAAAGCTGTATAAAGTTTCTAATCTTGAAATCTGTAGCTTCATATTAATCCTGAGCTTAAGAAGAAAAGAAGTATGACACTCTGCACTATGATCAATCTGCCCGCTCGAAATATAACGGTATCTGAATCGCGGGCGTCACTTCAGATACTGCTGTTAACGATCTAGTGTGTTATATAGAAGTCTGTGGTTGAACATGCAGCGGACAGGGTTGGTGTGCAGCGTTCCGTGGCGTCCACTATCGTTTAGCATTCCGCCAACGCACGCGGACGATCGTTATGTATATCTATAGGAGCCTCCAGTACCGCATAAGTAGCGCCACACTCTCGACACGCCACACAATTATAGAAACACCACACCTCGCACCGAGTTTGAAGTTTGCGTATCACCGCCTCCCAAGCCTCCAGCGTGACCCCAGTGTCTGATGCGGCATCGCCCGCTTGATTGTTGCAGGCCCGTGGGAGTCTGGGGGAAGATCGTGGGCTCGTTGTGCGCGATCGCCGGTGTCCTAACGATCGCCCTGCCTGTCCCCGTAATCGTCTCCAATTTCAACTACTTCTATCATCGTGAGACTGACCAGGAGGAGATGCAGTCGCAGAACTTCAATCACGTGACCAGCTGTCCATATCTTCCTGGCACTTTAGGTACGTCGCAGCGGTTCCCTTTGGAGAGTGTTTTCGAATAAAAATTATTGAAAGTACATTATTTATTATTATTATTGAAAGTAGATGGAAATATTAAATATTTAAACAAAAAGAGATGTTGAGGAAAACGCGTGCTCGTGCAATTTCGCAGGTCTGAAGAAGATCTCGATGTCCGAGTCCTCGTCGGATATAATGGAGCTGGAGGAGGGTACTCTGTTCACTCATCCGGAGATTACTAAGAAGTCAAATTGCAACCCTCGCCACAATAATAATATCAATCCAGCCTGCATGAGCATCGAGACTGACGTCTGACTACTAGGTATGCATTGTACTCGGCCGAGATATCGGTATCGCGGTACATATCGGTATCCTTATTTCGCCTTTGAAACCGTTTCCAGTGAAGGAGACGGTGGCAGCGTGGTGGCCGTTGCTGGGCCAGTTGTTGAAAAGCAACTGCTGCTCCTTGCGGTGCCTGACGTAGGCCTCCTTCACACGTCGTCGTAGTCGTTAGCGGCTGGCGCCCAGCGTGTCGCCCGCCAGCCTGTCCAGCCAGGTCCATCAGTACGAGGGGCGTCTCGGGGGTCAGGATCGCGATCAGGGATTAACAGGGGAACCGCGATCCTCCGATCAGGTGCTTCTTCCATCCGGGACGGGTTGCGAGATACGGAAGAGAGGTGGGGTGGGCCCAGAGTGTGCGAGAGAGAGAGTGTGTGTGTGTGCGAGAGAAAGAAAGAGAGAGAGAAAGAGAGAGAGAGAGAGATAGAGAGTGAGAGAACGGGGAAAACGAATCTACCCCTGCTCTCGAAACGTGTTGTCACCTTCCCCACCATCTCCTAATGCAGAAAGCTTGCGCCCCATGTAAGGACCCACGTGCGAACGAAGGGGACGGGATAATTCCTCGCTCGCGCGCGCGGGCGTGTGTGCGCGCGTGCGGCCCGAAACCCCACACCACCGACTCCAGTGTTCAAAACAAAAAAAAAAATATAAAAAATAAACAAATGACACCGAAGAAACATCATGGCGTCTTCGAACAGGCGCCGTCGTGTGTCCCCTCCCCTTGTCACTGCGGGCTCCTCCGGCTTCTGTTAGCGGACGAGTGAGACGGGAAAGGGGGGAGCCGGTAGGCGATGGAAGCAACGGGGGATCGTACCAGATAATACTATATTAATTATTATTCGATACAATTAATCGAGTACCGTACACGTAGGGCGAGGGTAAGTTAACAAACGTGCGTTTTACGATTAATCGCGAGTGCGGACGAGGACACTTGGAAGACGCTGATTGTGGCGAACGGAGAACGACGGACAAGCTCGCGAAGAAAGCATCAAGGACGAAGGACCGAAGGACATTCACAGAGGCAGAGGAAGAGAGAGAGAGAGAGAGAAAGAGAGAAAGAGCGAGCGAGACAAAGAGAGAGACAAAGAACGTCTCGTGCGGCGGAAAGACTGTTCTGTTTCCTTTTCGTTCTTTTTTTTTTTTTAAATCAAGGATACCAAGTAAGCCAATTTTCGTATCTAATTACCATTATACGGTACATTATTAATGCGAGACGATTGGGTAACGCGATTCATTTTTCCGACTTGTTACATTCGCGCACCTGCACATGTAAATATATTTACACAAGTGCCGATAAAGTGTTAAAGGTCGAAGTCGCGAATGGCGTCTTGATTACTTCAAGATGATAGGGAAACTAATTTATTGATAACGTCCGTTCATGATGGTTAGATATCTGCGAAAATGACGACGCAAGCGACTTCGATGATGTCGATATGGCTGCGAAAATTATTCTACTAATGTCGGACTGCGCCCTCGCTGCTTGAAATCGCTAAAATTATTTAATGTAGCGTGGAAAATAATCTAGTTATAACGAAAAATCAAAGCATTACTTAAACTAATCGCCATTTTTTAAGAGAAATTGTTTATCGACGTCCAAATTACAGCACAACGTTACTGTTATGATTAAAATCTCGTATCGTATGTACGAATTGTCTGTTTACACTTATACGAAACATCCGAAACGGAAACGGGAAATAGAAATTAGTGTCCAGCATTAAGTGACGAGGGTGTATGTCCGTCCGGATAGCGAATTTAGAGAGGATTCTCGATAGATCGAATATAAAGATCGACGCCGGTGCGAGCGATTGTAACGATAAGATGCGTCCGAAAAATCAAAATCCGAAGATGTCTGCCGATGGCGCGCGTTTACGCCCAAATCACATTCTCAGCCTTTCGATGCGTACGGTTTGACATTTCTGTCTTCGATGTATGCAATAACGACTTCTCGAGCATCGTGGGTGATTGCTTGCACCAGGAGCAGAATAATGGATGGTGACGATTAGCATGCATAAGTATGAAAGTACGCGTGTGTTAGAAATAGCTCATATATCGCGTTCTTCGTCTTTATCGAAGCTCAAGGATCAAAGGAAATCACTGTGCGATTCCTTACGGAACTAAATTTTGATTCTCGTCTCGAAGCTGCCAGAGGCATCCCTTTGATAACGGAGAATAAAAACTCGAAACAAAAGTAAAATGTCGGGGGAAAAAAAAAGCGTTACGATAGCTGTTACGGCGTTCCTCTTCCTCTTCTGTGAATAAAATTTTTACGGTTTCTCAGTGTTCTATATAAAAGTGGTTTATAACTTTAGAAAACGATGTTTTATGTTGCACGACGCGTTTAGATGTTGACGATAAAAGGAAGATCTTGGGCTTTAAGTTAAACAGCGAGGATAATCCGTATCAAAGAGGAAGAGGAAGGCACATGGTATCGAGACAAGCTTTATTGTTCGAAGAACGAATTGGCACGCCAATCGATCCTCGCACCTAATCTTCCCAGAGAGACTTTACTAAATCTCTTCGTCTCAAAGTTTCACCTCTTTTCCGTACGACGAAAGCACGTCGCAGAATCGCCAAGACTGCCATTACATCGCTCTCGATTTATATTGCGCCAAGGAGTTCACCCCAGGTATATCCTGCGGAGCCAAATCGATCCAATCCGATCTATCCTCGATGTGCTGATTCGATCTAAATCCGACGAGAACCAAAGTCGAGTCGCGGAGCGTACTTTCGCTTGCGTTCACTTTCGCTAGGACTCATGATTACAAGAGGAAAGGAATATATGTGTAAAAGAAAACGCAAGGTCCTCGTTCTACCTCCCAAAAGTTGCCGATTTTCGATCGTCGTTCGATGGAGAGAGAGAGAGAGAAAAAAAAACGAAGCAGGGGTAAACCTTTTCAGTATCCATTCACCGTATATTGTGCGTTAGTTTTCATCGGTTGGCATATGTTAAAGATTTAAGCTTTGTTATTAGTAAGAGCTAATTAAAAAATTTATAAAGTGATGGTTTTACTTAGATCACTATACTTAGTTTGGTACTGAAAGAGTTAACTGATGCCGTTTAGAATAAAAAAAAAAGGACGCAAGGACGTGTGATTTAAAAAGCCGATGCATAATGAAGAGACGAAACGAGATGTAAGAGCAAGAAGCAAATAATTAGTCTGCCAATATTAATGTAAAGAATACAGAAGTAGTTGCCGATAACACGTGAGAAAATAGATGTTATTGAACGACAAAATCCAACGGAATAGTCCCAATCTCATTATTGTCAAATGTAAACGTGAGCAAATAACGGATATTTAGAGAAGGCGTTTTATTAGAAAATAGACCACGATCGAGAGGTCAGATGTATAGAGTATCCTCCGCCTTTTAGGATGGAAATAGTTTCGCACCGTAATTGGCTGGAGAAAAGGTGTGCTGACCGCATTATATTCGCGATATATCTACTCTGTATTCGCTGTTCGATGTATCGTTCATTGTTTGCTCGTAATCGGCGACTGGCGACGCCAGTTTACGCTTCTTGTTCTTATATTTCATTTTGTGTCGGCCGTTTTAAGCGTGTAATCGATTACACGGCATACGATGAAGCAAGCAACCGACCCAAAAGAAAAAAAAAAGAAAGAGAAAATAATTAATTCGATTTCAGTAGATAATCTTAGAAACGATTTTAACAGACGGCTAATCTCGTCTTTTAATAAACACAAATGTCGACGATGGTGAAACTTTAGTCCATGCTATGAGAGAGACTGATTGCGAGAAAGAGAGAGAAAGAGTGGAACAAAAGAATGTGTGTGCGTGTGTGTGTGCGTATGTGTATGAAAGACAGCGGGAGATAATGAGATAAAGGTATAACGAGATATTATTGATACAATAATTACACGGAGGTTTACGTTACACGCTTTTAATACAATACTCGAACCTCTCGCCTCGCTGATTTAGTCCGAGAAAAGAAGTATAGAAGTAATAAAAAAAAAGAGCAAAGTATAAAAAACTACGCATCAAACTACCAGCCTAGCTAAAACCGAGAAAGAGGAAAAAAGAGAGAAAGGGAGAGAGAGAATGAGAGAGCGTGAGAGAGCGAGAGACAAGAGCGCGAAGAGATGTTCTATAAAACGATAAATTTATTATTACTACTACTGCTATTACTACTATCACTACTGCAACCACTACTACTATTACTACTATTACTATTACTTATCACTACTACTTACTATTACTATTAACTACTATTGCTACTACTATTACTACTACTGCTGCTACTACTACCGAACAAAAAAAAAACACGCTATGGTGAACGTATTTAGGTAAACGAGAAACTACTCCGCTAGGCAGCCAGTAGCCGTTAGAATACACGAAGATAGCCATTAGGTGGCGAACGACGTCTTTGTTGTTGCCGCGTCGGAATTATCGATAATAATCGTATCAAAATTCCAAGTCTCTGTAGAATCGATCGAGCCGAGGCGGTTGTACATAGTCGGTTAAATAAAAAAAAAACTCGGAAACTAGACCGCCATCAGATAGAGAAAACTATGAGAATACCAGACGCGTTGTTGTTCCGTTCGGTTTCCATCGGCAGACTTTCGTCGCCCGAAAACAAACGTGACGGGTGGAGCTTACATGACGAGCTTTTCAAAAATCTGTCCAAAGACACGGACAGATCTTTTATATCTCATTTCTTTTGTTCCGAAGATTATATTATACTTACTCAAAGAGCGCGGGTTGTATACTAATTAAATTATCTTCAACATTTTTATCTCATTCGAGTCATTAAACCAATTAAGCCGAAATTCGAAGATCAAGGTCTCACTGTCTCAAGAATTAATATCACAACACAAAATTACTTTTCCGGTTCTTTTGTTTGTCGTGGATTTAAATCGAAATTCAGGAATTGGATTTAATTAGTTATCTCTAAAATTCTCTTCTCGGTTTCCGAATCCGAAGTCGTCGTGCTAAAGTGAATCCCCGTAAATCCGTTGGACTTCCATTACGTTATGCCGTGTCTACTTTTAATTACGCGAACAAAGAAAGATGAGAGAAAACCAAACGAGGTGTCGCGGAAGCGTAACTTTCGATGTTCTGTTTGTGCACCGAGGCATGAAAAGGCTTTTGACGTCTTGCGGGGGGCGCAGGATGAGAGCGAGCGGGAGTAGTCGCCGATGTTCCTTAATGTAAAATTAAGTCAACCCGCATTCCCGGTGATAAAGGGAAGGGAACGTTTCTCTCTTACGCTCCTTTCCAGATCTATAAGAGTTGATGACGAAGCGATTACGAAGCTTCGAAGTGTCGAAGCGTTCCCTTCGCCGAGAATCCGGGAAAGAGATAGAAAAAGAAGGGGAGGACGAAGAGCGTGTATGAGCGTGTAAACGAAGGAAAAAGTAAAAGAGAGAAAGAGAAAGAAAGAATGAAAGTGTATGCATGAGAATGAATGAGAGGGAGAAAAAGAATTATACGGTGGTGAATTATGCGAGTCGAAGATGCATTCCGAAATAACTAGGTAACAATTAAAAAAAAAAGAGAGAGAGAGAACTAGTCTCGCTACAAAGCTAGAGTTATATTCCGCTGTCGCCATAGAACGAGATGATTCGTCGCTACTAATTAATTAACGCGAAAGAAGGAAACGCGAAGAAAAGCAAATCGTCGCACCATCGAGTTCCCTTTCTTGATTAACCAAAAGAAATAACTAATAATAATAATAGTAATAATAAAATAACGCGTATGGTAATCAGGCTGGGTAGGATATTACGAATATCATTATTCAAAGAAAATTAAAAAGCGAGTAATTAAAAACAGTTTAGAGTGCCGGCATCACTCTCGAGCATTCCCCGTCTCGCCAGCAGCTCTTCTCTGGATCGCCACGATCGATCTTTCCTTACCCGGTCGACGCAGAAATTATCGACTTAAAATAGCAATAAGCTGCGGAAATTAATCATCAGACGTCAAGCAAAAATAATTTGACCGCGAATTATTTCGCGGAGGAAAAGTCGATACGCGAAAGGCAAAATCGATCGCAGAGTATCCTCTCGCATTTAAAAAAAGGATAAGGGTATTACGGCGCGGGGAATGCTCGAACGCCGCTCGCAAAAAATAAAGAAAGGAGAAAAATAGTAAAAGAAGTTGATAGAGACAAGAAAAATATGAAGCAAGTGCGAGCGCTCGTAGATCGAGACGACCGCTTTCAAGTGATATATTTAGGTATTATATGGTCAGACGTTTTAAAGTTGCTGAAGAATAACGTAATGTAAGAATTAAAGCGAACATTTGTTATCACTCGGACGATGTTTTTGATGATTGATTTGTGCCGCGACGAGAGTATTACGTGTAAATGCATGTAGATATATCATATACAGGGTGAATCGTGAAACGCGGAGGTCGGTGGCAAAATTATGTTTCTCGGTGAGTTCGAGTTTATTTTATTTTGTTCGAAGCTGCTATTTATATCAAATTTCTGGACTCCCAATCACGTAACGACTCGCTGATCAAATGCTGCATTATATTTCCACTCGTTTTCCCGGCCGAAACTTTGTATCGATCCTCTTGGAAGAAAAATCGCGCCTTCAAATTCATCGAGGAATAAGTGCCTGCTACCGACTTCAATATTTGACGAAGTACCCTATATATCATGTACATGATATATAAATATATATACACCTGAGAGAGATATGTATATGTAATTGTAACGAATGCCGGGAGAAAACACGGGGCAGGTGAATCGCAGAAAAAAGAGATGAGGAAACACGTCGCTCGCAAACTTGCAAATGGGAGAAAAGTAATTCGTTTGCAAAGAGTAGAAAGTACTAATGTTACTATGTTTACATACATATGCAGAGATGCATACACACACAGAAATACATTCGCAGAATATGTCACACATGCGATACACTCACACACATAATACATAACGACATGATACATAATACAAGAATGACTTTCGAATAAGCTATTTAGTAGGCTAAATCTAAAGAAACTAAAAAGTATATAAAGAATTTGTAATGCGAGGGCTGCACACGGTGGCGGCCACCCCTGCCATTCTAGTCGGTCAGAATCCGTTTTGTGAATTAATTAAATTAATTAATTGATTGATCGAGGACTCGTTTATATAGTGTTGAGCACTGTTTTAAGTGCTTTTCATTTTTTGGCTGTGTGAAGCTTGTACTAACGTAATTTAATGGGGGAAAAGTCATCTAATTATCGTATCGACTTTGCGCAATCGCTCTCGAAACTTTTCCAAAAGACGAGGAAGGTATAAACCAAAAAAAAAAAATAGCGTGAGAAGGAATGAACAAGAGATAAAGAAGATGAAATACAGAATTTTGTTGCACATCGAGATTGCGATGAAATGGAAGCGAAAGGCATGGAGAGAAAGTGAAACATTTCAATTGTGAAGGTTTATTAATAAAATTATTACTAAGTAAAGATAAATAATAATAAAAAAAATAGTAATAACGAGTAATGAGTAATAAAAACTAATGGAAATATATTAATGATAACCGATAAGTCACGAACGCCACGTTTCCCTCGATACGTTAAATGTATATTATATGATTCCGCATCTCCGTTTGTACGCATTTTAACAAACTGAGCGAGAAAAAGAATACTAGAGGAGGAACAATGAAAAATAATAAGCGAATTACGACAGGATACATTTAATGATGTATAAAGACCAGAGGAACGGATACTATACTCTTAACGGTACTAGCTCACACAAATATCCTGCCGAGTTGCCCCGGGTTACGCTAAGAGCCACCTGGCCCGTTTTAACAAACAAACAAAAGATTTATTAAGTTTATAAGCGCTAAGAGGAGCTAAGCCCATCGCCTTATTCAGAATTAAACAAGAATTATAAGTAAAGAGAGAAGGAAAGAAAAATAAAAAACAAGGATAAAGAAAAGAGAATAGGAAGAAAAGTAGGAAAGAGAAAAGAAGGAAATGAAGAAAGAGAGAAAAAAGGATAAAGAAAAGAAAGATAGGAGAAAAATAAGCTATAGGAAGTTGATAATGGAGCAAGAAAAGGCAGCATGTAACACATATAATCTATTTTTTGCCTGCGCCAAATATGATCCTACGAAATAATTATTATGATTAAAAAAAGGAAAATGGAGAACCGCTAATTTTTCTAACGATCCCGCGAAAGCCGCCAGGAGACAACCGATGTCCTACGTCCTCCGACGGCGATTTTTTGTAAAGCCACTATTTCTATATTGCGTCCCGTCGAGAACCGGGAAAGAGAAAATTCAGCGTAATCATTTGCCGATTTCAGCGAGAACGCGCGATCAGAGAAGAAAAAAAAACAAGTTGCAATGCACGAGACTCGGCAATGATTTTGTCTAACTAAGAAGAGATACGACTGTGATATAACAATTTTATATTTCTTTAAATTGTTAGATAAATGAATTTTTAGAATTTATTTGAAGCTTTGCTAAACAAACAACAAATAAATCGATCTTTTCTCAGATTTTCAAAGATTCGCAAATTTTTATTTTTATATAAATCCAGTCGCAGATTTCTCAATGCTTCAAGTGATCTAAATTTTTGGCCGTCAATCGGCCATCAATTTAACCATCAATTCTGAATTGTTATTTCTTCTTATATATGCGGGATTCATTATCGTGACTCGTGCATTTTTTGTGATAAATTGAGAACTGACGGAGTCAAGTTCCGTTAGCCAGGTATCAAGGCACTCAGAGCAACGATTAATATCGATCTTATTTGTACGATAAGTCAGTTTCGTTCATTACACTTGAAAGAGACACTACGAAAATTCACGTGCAATACACTCGAATGCATTTGTAGCTTTAAAGAAAGCTTTAAAGGAATGCTTTAAAGGAAGTAAACAAATAAAAAAAGGCTGCTCCCCCGATTATTAATAATTAACTCTTTGGAAATAATCGCGCAGTTCATAGGTGAATGAAGCTTACGTCTCGTTATTACGCCATATTCGGAACTTTCGAAATGTAGCAATAGATAATTTATACAA